GTTCGGCCACGAGAAGGTTATTGCCGTTTCGAGTGACGCGTGCGATAACGATCGAGATTTACGCCCTCGTTATCAATGCCTTAAATCGGCGAACATCGGTCGATTCGTGTGCGCCAAGTGTTCGCGGGCGTGGTGTCGAGAGGGATGCGAGAAGAGGAAATTTATTATTTATTATTATTCTCGAGTTTTGGAAACGCGGAGGGGAAAAGGTTTAAATGGAAACGAGCGGTGAGGGAGGTTTTGAGATTAGAGCACGAAGGTGCATGCCATTCGTGGGATATTGCGGGATACACCACCCCTTTGATGTTTAACTTCGAAACCCGCAACCACCGAGTATTATTATCGAAGTATTATTGCTTGGTCGATAGACCGCGACATCTAAAATTACGGAATCGTTTGACCGGTATATATAGACCCACCTTCGCGACGTTTGACTTTGTAATCGAGAAATATCAAATTCGTATGTTATTATATTCGAGCGCTGTTAATTTGAATGAGAAACGTCGAGTGCGTTATTCGTTCAATTTCTCTGTAAATATACGATATATTTATAAATGATATTCACCCTCGAGTGTATCGATTCGTGAATATTACTGCGTTCGAACTAATAACCTTTTATTAGACGTCGGTGATGGAAACTCGTCTAGGAGTAATTTCAAACGTAGGTTAATCGATGTTCTTTCTCGTTATCGTAATACAATTAATTCTTAATTCCTACGCTTCTTATTTTATTTCAAACTTTTTATTCGTGGAATCTCGCAGAGTTTCGCAGACTCCGTGTCTCCCGTATCTCGACTCCGTGAGAAGGAATCTCTAAACGGTGTAATTTATTCGAGGCTATCGCGGACGAAAAGTCGTAAAATTGTATATTTCTCGGTACACTTCGGGCTGAAAGCCACTTTACGGCTCTTTGTTTTTCCGTTCCTTTCGACGTGCTTTCATACGTATCCCTCTAAATTCACGATCCGTCGATTCCTACGTACACCTTCCATTCGTTCTCGCCGTGAAATCCCTTCCAATCCCGATGAAACTTTACCCCTTTGGAAGATGGACGATAAAATCGTCCCATTGACTTTTCACAATTCGCTTTCAATAATTATAACAGATAATCACGCTCCGTATAAATAATTAGAGATAATAATCTGAAGAGAAACTCTGATTCTCGATTCTTTTGCGGACGAAATTCTAGAACGAAGCTCCTTTGTCGAGCTATAACAGCTACGCTCCTATTATCGTCGCGTGTATTCCGCTCTACTCTTGCTCCTCTTTATATATATATGTATAGCGCAAACATAGCTGTCTTCTCCAATCGCTTCTCCATTCTCCCTTAACACGAAATGATTCAACGTGGTAATTAAAATTTAACAAGATATCGGATCGACTTTATCAAGCGTGAGGAAAGCGTTACAGGCGATAAAAATGCGTGGAAAAAATGCTGTTCCACGAAAACGACATCGAACGTTTCTTTAACGCTTAAGAGCGACGCTTTGATATACAAGGATATGGAAACTTTTAAAGTCTCTCCTCGGATATTAATTCGGATTGGTCGGTGAAAAGAGTCGCGCGAAGCGAAAAGAAAGAAAAATGAAAGAGCTTTGACTTACTTGAATCGCCATCGAGCGCGATTACAAGTTTAAAAATTAATTTTTAAATTTCTCGAACGAGAAATGACGCGTTCTCAAGTATGTAAAACTTGGAAGATTTAACTTTGGCCTTTGTTAAACTTTTGTCCAACGTTAATGGACGTTCGAATGCCGTTCAAACTTTCTCTCTCTCTCTCTCTCACGTTTAATACGCAATTTTCATTTACCTTTTTGTCATTAACCAGCGAAATTTCTAATTATTCTTGAAGAAACTCGAGTAATTTAAAATTACGCGAAGAAAATCGATCTAATTAATTATTAGAAATCGAGAGGAACTCTCGAGCGTTCATCCTCGAGAGGAAATTTACTATTTTCGATCGTAGAAGAATGTCTGAGAGAGCGACTAGATCCGATCCATCCGGGATCCATCCGGTTCTTTGATTTACAAAACGTCGACGTGACATCGAGTTGAGCCTCTTCAAAACTCTGAACACGATTCTACCGTTTAATTTGCAAACGATTTCTCTCCCCTTCGATCATTTTCGAGTGGCGCAACAAATACGAATGTCGAAATTTACTAGATCTCTTCGAACTCGATAAGTTCGAACATCTTGAAGAAAAAAAAAAAAAAAAAAAAGAAAAGAACGCAACTCGTACAACTCGATCGCGATATTATACCTCGCTTCGCCAATTTATCGTGGTTTCCATTAACCGATAAAGTTTTAACGAAACATCGATTCAAAGTATAATCGAATTTGAATATTTAAACAACTTTAATGGACGTTTATTTTCACCAGTCGTTTCCATATAATTTTCTCATCAAATTTAATGCGTACGATTGACGATAACGTACGATATTCCATTATTATAAAGCTCATCTTTGTTCGTCGCAACGAGCACGTTCGAAAGTTCCTTTTTAACGAGACCCCCCTCCCTCTTCCCTCCTCTCCTCATCCCATGCCTCGTCTCTTGCCGTTTCATCGTGACGCGAGATATCTATCTAACTATAAGGAAAATATATAGCGACACATCGTATTAACGCGTCAAACCTTTTATACCACGTCGGATTTACAACGCAGGAGTAATGGTTTTTCAATATTCACCGAACGAGAGGCGAGCGGTAAAGCGAAAGGAGGATCGAGCTCAAAGGGAAACACCTCGAGCGTTTTATAAAACTCAATTTTATTTCGACTGAATATAGGGCGTCTATAACCCGCCCGCGCGAGTAAACGGACTAATTGCGTATAATTAAATAACGGCCACGGTTGAAACTAACCACGGACCATTTAGTCCGTAGGAGAGAGGATTGGCGGGGATATAAAGAATAATTCAGACCGAGCGGTTTTTCAACGTTCCATCCGCTTAGAATGAATTTCTTTCGAACAATCGGTGTTATTATTTGAAGTAACGATTAATAAATAACGCGAACGTGTTATAAAAATCACGCTACTCGCTTCAATTTTCCAACTTTTCGCTTTTCCAACCCCCTTCTTCTCCAACTCCAACCATAAAGAAACACAATATTTAAATAAACTTTAAGACCTTAAGACTAGCGCTTCGATTCAACGCTATTTTAAATTGAAATTTCGCCAATCGCCGACGATTAATTATTATTACGGAGTTATTATGAGAGAGAGAAATGAAACCGTCAGGTAAACGAGGTTTGTTGAAGGTATACGTACAGAAAACGCTTTAACTTTGTCGAGGTCTTTAACTCTTTGATCGATGTTTTTTTCTACGACGATTATAACACCGTGGCTGAAACTCGAGAACAATTTCGGTCCGGCATTGTAAGCACGAAATTCTATGAAGTAAGCGCACGATCAAACATCCGAAACATTCCCAGTCGCAATTTCACAAAGCAAGATTCTGCGAATACTTGGAGGCCGGCCGGCCGGCCGGCCCGCTTTCCTCGCCGCGTAACAGCTTTTAATCGCAATTTCTTATTGAAAAATCGTCCAAGTAAAAATTATTCGAGCGAGTATATTCGTAAATATACGGAGGAGAGGGAGCGAATCGATGAAAGATATACACAGAACGAAGCGATGGAACAAAGGGTTGGAGAAAGGGGGTGGCGCAAAGGAGGGTGAAGAGAAGCGAAGAACGCCGACAGCGGAACAACGCTTCGTGGCGCTCGGCTCGAAAGCGGATGTTAAAACATTCCGAACGCATTCCCGGCGTCGAATCCTCTTAAACACGATCCCGGCATCAAACACTTTAATTATTGGACGATGCGAACCGCGGTGCAACGATGAAAAGAATTCCATCGCGAATTCCGCGGACGCGATCGAGCGCTGAATCAAGGGAGGGAGGGAGGGAGGGAGAAACTTAGCCGCTGTGAAACGTTAATTGTCGGAATGAACCGAGGCGCTCGTTTCATGAATAAGTGGTTGTCTAACTGCGGACAAAAGAGAGAAGGGAATCGGGAGGGAAAGAGACGCGGAGGATCTGGAAGAATAGGCTCCAGGACATAGCCGGTGGTGAATATGTTTTATTCAAAACCGTTCTCCCTCGTCCTCTTTCTGCTACTCTGCGCAAGAATTCAAGGGGGAAAAAAAAAAAAGAAAAAAGAAAAAAGGAAAAGGAAGAGATGGGAAATAGAGATCGCGCCACTGCCATTTCACGCTACCTGTCGTTTAACCGTCGTTTAACAATGTATAATTTGATCGTTTATTTACCATGGAAATGCAGTATTCGTATTAAATACCATTGCTGTTTCCCTTTTAGAGGATCCTCTGAATAAGCAAGCTCGGCTGCATGCATACAAGGCATGCATACCGGAATTATAAACGCCGAGTTTAGCCGGGTAATGCTACTTGGCGAGATGGGAACAAATTGCCAGTGTATTTATATACAAATTTTATCACCTCGAATTCGTTTGTTACTCGTTAATGTTGCACCATCCCTATCCGATCGCGAAAGTTTGGCCTGGTTTCGAGCTTCGAGCAAAGATTTTTCCAATTTTACGAATCCGAAAAACTATTACGAACGCAATGAAATAACGTAATAATTGGATGCAATTATTCCTATATTATTAAATCGAACAAAAAAGCGCACGAATTTCAACGATCACGAGTTTCCTCGATGCCACGCTCATCATTCGTGAAACTAAAATTCCACCTTATCCATCACTCGAGTAAACAAGATCGTTAAAACGAGATCCACGACCCCTTTTTTCCCCTCCCGAATAAAAAGCTCGGGATATCCCATTGTTCTCGGCCACCCTTAGCCACGCTAATTCCCATTTTCCAGAAAAATAACGATCATCCCCTAACGATGAACCCCAGAATTCCCTTTTCAAAATCGTACGCGTACGTTGCACAGCACAACGTATACAATCGTAATATACTTGTGATTGATGAGCCGATCGCGTGCCCCCCTTCCCCCCTCCCCTCCCCCCTTTTTTTTTTGCTTCAGGTTCTGACAGCAAGATGTCCGATGTTGATGGACAACCGTATACAACGTTATTGTACAGCAACGGACCCGGATACACGCAGCCAAGGAATATTTTACGAGAGGCTGGCAAGGATTCCATTCAGGTAAAAGAAAAAAAAAAAAAAAAAAAAGAAAAGAAAAAAAAAAGAAAAAAAGAAAAGAAAAAAAAAAACGGGACAAGCCTCATATTCTCGCGTATAGCAAGATATACGCGGCCATGTTTATTGGATCGGAAAATGATCGGGGTGAAATATCGGGGGCACGTTTAAAAATCCATCACGCTTTGTCGAGGGGTTCATTCGCGAAATATTCGATGGAACTCTTTCTCTTATACTTCATATATTCCATCCTCGATCCTCTCCAACCACCCTCTCTCCTTCACACCCTCCCTCTTGACTCGCGTTTTCGTTTCGAGATCATCGCTCGCTCTTCCGACCTGATAACTTTTAATCCGACCGCGAGTCACTGATCTTTTTCTGATTCAAATACGCTTGAAAATATGGTCGGCACAGGAGGGGGGATATTGTATCTCCACTCTTTTCTTCTCCGGAATTTCGTAATTTCGAGCGTGGAAAGACATTTTCGAAAGATGATTTCGTGTCGAAAAGCAATATCAAGCAATTTTTATTTACCGATTATGAAATGAATATTAGAAACAAATTCGTTGAAATAGAATCTCGTAGTCGATATTTATATAATATATATATATATATATATAGCGAGATGTAAAGTGTAATTTTTTTTTTAAGACGTTGTTACTGTCGGTAGTGAATCAATTAAACGAGTTCGATTTGAAAAAAAATTCCATTTCAACGTGATATTAAATCGCGTATCCCCTCCGATATAAGTGTATCGTTCAATTTTTTTTTCAAACGCGTTACGCCGTTGAGCCAAGTTCGCAACGAAACACAAAGAGACTGGAAATATTAAAAATCGCGCAAACGGCCAGCATCCAGGCCCATTCTTTTCCCCGTGTTCGTTCTCACTCGATCAATGGAATTTTTCTCAACGTATCGTAATATTAGTAATCGCGTTCGAAAGGGTGGATTGATCGTGGAAAGAAATTTCGCCCGGTTGTGTGTTAATTAATGTGGGAACCGTTCTCCCGCAATGGAATTCTCTGCGTTTCTCTTTTCCCGTTTCTGGCCAAACAGAGAGAGAGAGAGAGAGAGAGAGGGAAACTTCTGATAAAATAAATGGTAACCTAGTTTCGGAAAAATAAAGCGCGTTTTCATAAGACTTATGCAAAAGAGGAGGAAGAGAAATTGGAACGAGGGGGGGAGAAACGAATGGAACAATAAGAGTTTCGCGTTCATAAAGTGACCGTTCTCTTTGCGATACATACGATCATAAATGCGATTCTTCGCCATTTTTCACGTTGCATCCACGAAAATTTTCATCGATTCGAAACGTAACAGACTGTTTTCGGTGAGTCCTCTGCTTTCTTTCGCGCGAGAATCGAGAAATGATCGCGAACGAGGTAAGCAATAATCGTTGACACCGCGTCTCGAAATTTGTAACACGTGAACTTGTGAACTTTCTTCCCTTGCCTCGGGATAGAAAATCGATATTTACGAGTCTTCTTGAGGCTTCTATGATGTGCATGTACATCGTATAAAATGATTGGAAAATTGTTCGATCGAATAACTTTCCCCTGAATTGGTTATGATATCCTTGAAACACTCGTAACAATGTTGTACAAGTTTTTTTTTTTTTTTTTTTTTTTGATTCAATAAAAATATTCTTTTCACAGTGAGATTATATTATTTTTAATAATTCAAGAGCGGCGTTTTACATTTTATTTAAAAGTTTGAAAATATTTTACCAGCGTTCTGGTTCGATACTGAATTAAATTTCGCTTGTTTTACAACGATTTTATCGACGCGACATTATTTCATGGAAATCGGAACGTTATCAAAGTAAACTTATTCTACAAACGACTATTCTAAACAAATTTTTTTTTAATCAAATTGTTCACCCTCTTCAATTCTTTATTCTTGTATTGTATTCGTTTCTCGAGAAGAATGTAATACTTTTTTAAATTCTGTGATTTGTATATTTCTCGTATTTTCACTCTTTTTCTCGCATCCGTCCCTCGAACGGACACAATTCTTCCAAAAAACAATTCGATTCTACAAAAAAAATCACACGATTCTCTTAAACTCTTGGCCAAATCAAATCGTTTCGAACAAAACTCCTTTAAAACTCGTTTTAAATGATAACGTTCGATCGATCGGATTAATCAATTGGCTAATTTCGTCCATTCTTTATCCAGCGCAGAGACACTGTTCCTGTATCATCTTCGAGATTCTCGAGAACACGTCGCCTCGAGAACGGTTCGACTCTATGATGAATGACGATTGCACTGCTCCGCGATATTTAAGCTTCCCTCCCTTGTGGATAATAATTCGAGCAGATATCGTAACGGGGTAGATTTCGGTCACAATCGTGGAAGGGATCGTAAGAGAACTACTTCTCCCCTGGGATTGCCACCCGCTTTCCCTTCGATTTTACCGCTTCACGACGGACTTTTTAACCTTTCCCTCTGACCCTCGCCACGGTGCAATTGTAACTGGCTCGTTTGTATAATTTATCCAAGAGAAATTCTTTTTTTTTTTTTTTTTTTAGTTCGTATTAAGAAACTGAAGCGTTCATTTATTATTCATTTCACTGGAATTTCACGTTACTGGAAGAAGAGTTTTAGTTAGTTTCCTCGACGAGGGATGATTTTTAATACAGGCTTGTTAGTAATTTTGTTGACTTACTGGAGAAGAAATAAGAAATGTAATATTTTCATCTTTTTCTTTTTTACTGCATTTTTTGCGCGTGTCTGAACATTTCGTTCGTTTAATTACATGAATAATTCGTTTCCTTCAAATTGGAGGCGGAAAATGGGATGAAGTTGCATAAAAATGGAGAGAGACATTTTTCGTGCCGACCTTTATTTCGAGATAAATCGATGTTGGAAATTCCGACGAGTGTATTCGCGATAACCCGTGATCCGCGATGCTCGTTCCTGTGTTCGAAATTATCACGTTCGTTGGAGAAAGATGAATGTCAAAATAGAAAATTTTCCTTGGTTAAACGCGGAAATAACTGGTAAAGCTATTTCAATACTTTTATCAATAATTCTATTAATTCTACGCGTAGACGTCGTAATGAAATATAACTTCGTTATCGATTCATTCGATAAATGAAGCTTCGTAGGAAAAGAAGAATTCCACTTCTACTTTTTGACTCGCGCTTTTTCTCTTGTACCAACACTTTGAAAAGAATGCTAGTATAATTTTTTTTTTCACTTCTTTTCAATAGAATAGAGACACGTGTATGAAAAATTGAACATCGTGGCATAAAATTAAATTATACAAAAAAAAAAAAAAAGAGAGACATTCCATTTTAAAAGTATAAAAAAAATTTTCGGCTTTTCCGTAAAATAAAATGGCCACAGATTCCAATGAACTCAGCTAAGCCACAGTAATGGAATTTTTTACAAGATATATGTATACGTGCTCATATGTGAGAGAAATGGATTTTACTTTTTTCGTATCTTCGAAATAAAGAATAAATGTTTTACAGTCGATCGAATTAATAAATTTCAACAAGTACAATCGTCGAAAAATTTAATATTGTGAGATACGATATTTGTCGATTGGTAAAAATAACGAATAATTCCATAATATTAAATCGCACGACTTTGTCCTACATTTTACAGATGTAGGTAATCCTAGCGAAGCGTACGTTTAATTAAATGCTCGTATTTGATTAGTGTGTGTACTTATTGGTAAATTCGGTTCACGAAGCGCTAAACGCTTTGGATTTACCTGTTTGTACGGCTATTCGTTACACGTAATTGATTCCCGATAAATAATCTAACCAATTAGGTAATGCTAATTTCTAATTCAACCCGAAATCGAGCCGAACTTTCAAAGCGAATAATAAAACGTAAAAGAAGAAACGTAGAAACTTTTTATCGCCGTGCATTACTTTTAAAATCGAGTAACAGGATTTCAGATCTGATGGATTCAATGGAAGTGGATTCAATTGATCGAGAACTGGTCGAATAAAATAAATAATAAAATCGGTATTCTTATCGCGTTATACGCGTGACACTTTTAGTCCATAAGCCGAAAGTTCGTGTATTCCATCGTTGCCAAATTCATAGTTCTTCTATCTTGTAATTCTTGGCTCATCGGTTGGCGACCGATTCGAGCCAATGACACGGATAATAAAGCGAAGCTGTTGCACGGAAAATCGTTTGAGTTACTGGAGCGAAAATAGGTCGTGGAATTCGACTTCCTTCGATTCCTCCCTCGCGAGGAAACGCGGAACGCTGAAAAATTTCGGGAAAGTTCCTGCTGTTAAAAGTTGTAAACGAGAGAACGTTTCGTATCCGAAATAGCTCTACCAGTGTCTCGATACTTTTAACGATATTTTATTGGGTGATCCCTCGTAATACAGCGATTAAAAAATAAACCATACCGAATGTCTCGAGTATCAAGTGTATACGAAGTCCTGATATTTTTAACGAAACGCGTGTGAAATAGACCGTTCAATCCTCGAAGACAGAGGATTCTAGATCATTTTTACATCCCTCTGTCCATCCAAGCTTAAAGGGAAAGAACACGGAACGTTAATCCGCGCGGTCGAATTGCCCCTCCCTTCTACCCCCTCATGCATTCGCGCACACTCGATCGGAGAGTTGGAAAAGTTCGAAGCTTGGCGAGACGCGTAAATAGCGTTCCCTCGAACGGCCGCGGATTGGGATCGAAGCTCGGGGAAGAGGAGCGGAGGATGCATCTTTTCCCCCCAACTTGGAAAAGTTTGGCGCGTGTCGATTTCAATTCTCAACGAGGCGTAACGGGCCTTCGGGCTCGATGAAACTTTCAACGCGACGAGCTCCAGCCGGCTGCCGCTCGTCGTTTCCTAAGAGGGGGGCGAAAGATTTTCAACAGCGATGCTTCGCGCTCCGTTCCGTGATCTTCACGTCCCTTTTCGTCCCGATCGCGGGGGTTGGACGCGTTGAAGGGGTCCGTCGACCGTTTCCAACCAAAGTGCCATCTCGCCGACCAACTTTTCCTTCCTCCCCTCCCTCGTCTTGCTTTCATCTTCTCTCTCGCCGCTCCAGAGGATCGTAAACAGGGCGGAACCGCGCAAGGCGGGACGAATCAAAGGAGGCGAATCTCCTCGAGCGTGGAACGCGTCGCGATGATGTTCATCGGCGAGGAGAGGAGTCGGTTCATAATTGCAAAGAGGATCGAATTTGCTTTGGAAATTTTATCCCCTCCCCTCCTTCCGCGATCCTTCCCCTCGACTTGGGTTAGGAGGCTTCCCTCGATTCCCTTCGCCTCGATTTCTATGACGATTTTATGCATGCGTGTTCGTTTTGCTTGTTACAGACTGCGGGAGTTCCCCGCGCATGGGCGACGCACGGCGGCGAGGACGTGCCAGTGTTCGCGATCGGGCCCCTGGCCAACGTCTTGTTCTCCGGTAGCGTCGACCAGAGCTACATACCCCATGCGATCTCGTACGCCTCCTGCCTGGGCCACCACGCGAGCCGCTGCTCCCGAGACCCGACATCGAGCAACGACACAATCAGCGTCCCGATAAGCTGTCCCTCGGCGGAGCCGAACAGCGCCGCGATATCCAGCGACGTGATGAACGACCAGGCCAGAAATCCACCCACCAAATCCGCCGCGTCTCTCCTCACGCCGGCCACTGTTCTGCTACCCCTTGTCCTTGCCGTTCTACCCTCCCCCTCGCTCCAGGGGACGAGTTAATGCCCGTCAGACCCTCTTCCGGTGAATAGTTCCAACCTACATTCCTCCTCCTCTCTCTCCCTCCCTCTCTCTCTCTCTCTCTCCCTTTAATCCGTTCGAGGACGAGACAACAGGTGATCCAACGACTTCGTTATTCGGGATTAACAGTATCGACGAGGGCGAGCAGAGAGATTCGAGGGAACGTGGAGACTCAGAGTCGAGTCGTCCGGACGAGGAGTAATAAATCGAAGCCCCGTTAAAATTCTTCGCCCCTTGGCGGAAGCAGAACGAGAGGTGTACAAAACGAGGTGAATAAGGTGGCTTCCTGCACAGGATATATACCACGAATTCGAATTTCCGTGATCCGCACGCGTGTGAATAATTGATCGGCTCCCCCGATATCCGCTCCCTCCTTCTCTCCCGATCGAGAGTATTCTCCCCCTGGAACCTGTTTAAACCTGTAAAATCCGGGGATTGTATACGTACGGATTAATGTACGACGAGGGGGAGGCGTCGCCTTGAACGGTGGTTTAATCCCTTATTAACGGTGCAGAAACGGAGAGAGAGGGAGAGAGAAAGAGACGTTGTTCGATTGACCGAGAGAGAGAGAGAGAGAGAGAGAGAGATGGATATCGGATGTTGGGGGGATGGAAAGGACGAAGCGAAGTAATTTGCTAGTGGAGCGTCGAAAAAGTTCGTTCGCGGAATCTATGGAGTCCACCCATTTGGATTCCATGAAGAGAGAGAGAAAGAGAGAGAGTTAATGACGGTTCTTGCCTAATTTCGCGAAGAATTTTAGGCGCAAGAGGGTGGAAAGCGGTTGACGAGGGACAATTTGCGACGATAATGACTGTCCCAAGGCGGCTCGGTGAACTTTTACCGACTTTCAAAGCTTTAGCAGAATCTAAATGGGGTTTACAAGTGCTACGTGACGGGGATACTCGATCCGGGACCCACCAACGATTATCCGATAGACTCGACCTCGGTTCGATTCGAGGGAGGGAGAGTGGAAAGAATCGTGCCAGCCGTTCCCCTCTTTCGAAATTTGTAAAAAATTTGTAATTTCGTTGTTGTTTGGATAAGTTTGAAACGCGGGAAGGGATCTATTCGAAAAGTGGTGGAAATTATGGTAACCTCGATTCGTTCCTTTCGAACATCGAATTTACGACGATTATAATTTAAACAACGACGAAGAATGGCTTCGAAAACGGATGTTTCCGTAGGGAAATAAATTCTTTCATTATTTTTTCATTTCTTTTTTTTGTTTTCTAATTTCAATTCGTCCCATCGAAAAACGGAATATCCATCTCCATTTACGTTTTCGTGGCAGTTTGCTCGAGAACGAATCGATTGTAAATTTGTATGATAAAAATAAAAGTATTTGATCGGCAACGTTATATATCCACGTGATATATAATTCCATCGAATATATATCGCCTATCGAGATTATTCTTGTATTACCACGTAAGCCCGTTCGTTCGTTTCCATTTCATCGAAACTGTGTTGCGTTTAATCGTGAAACTTGAGGTACGTTTTAACATGCTTAATCAACCGGGTCTCGTTTGACTTTTCGAAATAAATTTCGACCGCGAATTAGCGTATTATATTAACGGATGAATTACGCTGGAATAGAGTGCAAATAACGTGAGAACCGTTATATGATTCATTTTCATTAGCATTCGAAGGGGAATTTTGAGATTCGAAAACGAGCGAGAATCGGGGCAGGGCTCTTAAGAAAAATCAGCGTTTAATTCAAATTTATGATAATTGGGTCTGTCGATATCGAGTTTAATAGCGATCCCTCAAACCCCTAGGAATTTTCAAGGAAACATCTGGATTTTCTTTTATTTTTTTTTTTTTTTTCCTTTCTTCCTATCCTCGAGAAGGATGGAATGTCGATCAAAGTAGTGATTAGAAGGATCGCGATAAAAGTGGGGATCAAGGGAGTCCTGGTAAAGATTCCCGATCGATCAGAGGTGACACAAACGACCTTTTTACGAGCGACGAAATCAGATTCACTTTGATCCTGGATTACTATCCGCATTGAAAAGGAGATTCTCGAGGCGTTCGAGGAGCATCTTGATTTCGAGATCGTTCGACCCTTTTTTTTTTAAAATTGCCTTTGTCGATAATTCTCGCGCTTATTCCTCTTCAATAACCTATCGTTTAAGCTGTAAAATTAAAAAAAAAAAAAGAGAAAGAAAAAAGAACCGACTAATTACGTTTGTATCGTTTCAACACGATCATTTACGACACGTGAGAAGAAAATTTACACCCGGATACAATGTATCCGTTACGAAATAAAACCGATAGATGGAATGGGGAAATTTTTCGAAATACCATCATCGTGTTTCTGCCTTACGGAATCGTCCCGTTGAAAATTTTAAAGCGGGGAATTTGATATCGTTTTCGCGCGTGCTCATCGGAACGTTCCAATTTCAGCCACGTTGCCGATATCGTGCTGCCAATTCGTCCATTTCACGTATTCGAAAAAATTTAATTTTCCAAGAAATTAAATTGGCCCCAATTTCTGGTTTATATAAATAAAATCAGAAACATATCGCTATATCGATTTAGTAATGGAACAGTAGCCTGTCAAGGATTAATTCGCAAGAAATATATATATATATGTATTTATCGTTATTTTTTTAGCCTTCGACTGTTACGCCGTTTTAGCAGGATCTTTATAAATTGCGCGAAGGTTATTTTCGCTTGTGTACATTTCACGAGTATCGCGACGAGAAGAGTATTGCTCGCGGAACTAATCAATTTTCGATTAGCAAACACTGGGATCGGAGTAAAAAGTTGATTCGATATTTCTTGTTGCTCTGTGTACAACGTATTTTTCCGTGCACAGCATGCTCTGTGAAAACGGTACGAGATAATCGATGCTACAATTTTCTCATGGATTATCTCTGTTGCCGATGCGATCGTTATGATCGCTCGAGATTAAAATGGCCAATCGGAATCTTCTTGTTGTCGAATTTAATTTCTTTTTAACAGGGATAACGTACATTTTTCGTCTTTTAAACACATCGAAACGAGATTTGGGAATAAAAGTTTGGAAAGTCGGATATCAATCTATCGTTAAATTGTTCTTTCTTCTCGGATCGTTACCGTGAAACGGAGTTAAATTTGTCCGGAAAAAAAAAAAACTGCGACAGATTTTGCAGAAACGTCAAATGGCAAGATTTATGCGCAGCTGGGAGGGAGGACAATGATCAAACAATAGACAGGGCAATTCGAGGCAAAACAAACTTAGTTGTGAAGTTTTAAGAAAGATTTCGCTTCGAGTTAACAATTGAGGAGGGGGGAAAAAAAAAAAAAGGAAAGAAAAGAAAAGAAAAGAGACATTGGTGGAGGTTAACTATAGAGTTTGAAAAACGATCGTTTCAGTTTTTTATCGAACTTTAAAAGACGGAAAACTGCTTGAACCGTCCTTTCCTTTGATGTTCTTTTAAAAATCGCTTCTTTTTACGTTTCTAATCGTCTTTTTCGTCTCGTTTACAATAAATATAATTGTTATTCTAATCAACGAACCGTCCAAATTCGTTTCAGTTTTATGATAATATCGGAAAGTTTCTGTTTGTATCTTATTTAACGGATAAAAGTTAAAGGAAAAGATGTAAAGGCGTTTAATTTTTTCTTTTACAATTTGAATGTTTTATGATTATTTATATAGATTTTTAATGCGATAAATTACGAATTTATATTTCGCCTCTGAAAAAGAATATTGGACGAAGAGGATACTTGTACGTAAAGTAAAATTCAAAAATGTAAAAGTAAAATGGATAATGCAGGATTTTTCCTGGCATGAAATAAGCTTTAGCTTTGAACTGTAAATCCTCGATTGCTTTCTCCCCTTTCTCTAGAATTTTCATTATTATATTCACGTATTACCATGAGAAAACGAAGATGAAAGTAACGTCAAAGTTAGATACGAGAGGTACATCTAACGTTGCATCGAACGTTGAAAAATTAATAATTATCTATCAGTTATTGGCAAAATTTATTGGTTTATTGGTTTCACGTGTACAATTGCAAAATTAAAAAGCCAAATATTATCAATAATCCATTTTCATCCATTCGAATATGGGATGAATTTACGTAATCCATCGAACGCATTCCCAAAATTATTTACTTGAATTCCAACAAATTATATAACTTTGTCGAACCAGAAAACAATGTATTAAAAAATTATTTTAAAGAATCGACTCAACTAGAGCACGTTCAGGAATCGTTTGGAAAAAGCATCGTTTTAATAATTTTTTCGAAAGTATTTCTAGCGACAAAGTATGCTCGACTAGAAGTCGGAATTAATTGATAAAATTGAAGACGGCCTAAATTTTCCTCTGGCACTCGAATCCTCGACCGTCATTCTATGGAAAGATAGCATTTTCAACAAACTTCCGTCGTGGAAATTCCTTATCGATGTATCGAGTCAAAGATGATCTGTAAAGGGATAAAGGGATAATAATTTCAGGGAAGAAAAATCTTCAAGGCGATTTTCGTGACAAAAAAAGTGAGAAAAGAATATACCTCGATGGTTATTGAAATGGAATAACCGAGAAATTTTTGTTGATATTTTGTCTCTTGGATCTTTTCTTTTTCTTTTTATTTTTCTTATTTTTTTGACGTGTCTGGTTTGCACACTTCGTTTACCAGCTTTTCTATAAACATCTTGGACAGGTTCTTTGGGGATCTATCTTCTTTCATAAGCTCTTCTCTTCCTTTTTTGGCTTTTTTGATAAAGATTCAATGTCTCGTCGGTTTCTAAGGTATTAGCCACGTTTAATTAAAGATCAAACATGAAGAAGCGATGTTCAACGAAGATTAACTTCCCCCCTTAAATTGGGACTGAAAGATAAATAATTTTCACATTTCACGAAGAATCCATAGAAAAATTCGCAATGATGGCAATTGTAGCGGAACGATGATACGTGGTAAAGAATTTTCTCGAAAGGAATTACGTGCCCCCTGTCTTTAAAAGCAATCATGCGGAACCAATACGTTGAAACCGAGGAAAAAACCGTCAAAAAATTGTACACCCGATAAAAGCGTATCTTTCACCGCTTAAATGAACCAATCTGTGGTTGGGAAGGGAACGAAATATCCCATTTCTCGAAGAAAATACCGGATTGCAGGATGCAGATACGTCCCAACTTCTTTCCGTTACGATCCATGTTTTACGCTCCCATATTTCCAGCTGATCGTCCATTCTGACGAAGAAAAGATTTTCGAGGGCCAATAAAACTACGCGATAAACGGTACTCATCCGCGTCCCCATTGGAGGACGCTACGTAAATAACAACGTGTAAACAATTTTTGCGATCCGTCGTCGAGGACACAACCCTTAACAAGTTGGTTCCAAAGCAACTCGTAACTTTGACGACTCGAAATTTAATCGGAACGATAATATATAAAAGACAATTTCTATCTTCCCCTATCTTATCCCTTCTCCTCTGATATTAATCTTTTCAAGAATAACGTTTTCTCACATTTCTCGAAGGTGCCCTCGATTCAAGTTGAAATCCCAGCTCGAATCTCCCCCTTCTCGAACCTTTCCCTTTCCTTTCGTATATCGTATATCGATAACAATTCCACCCAGGTCTGAAGCAATCGCCCGAACGCGGATCGGCCCGACTCGAGGATTAATCCGATGGAATAGGGAAAAACTGGAGCGGCTCCTCTCCACGCTAGATTTCGAGCCGCTCGTGATTGAATCGTGCGAGACAGATATATCCTCACCCACCCTACGCGATCTTCCTCTTCCCTCTATCCTTCCTTTATCTCGATCCTCGCGACGTCGTTTGTCGTCATCTCGGTTAAAAATCCGAGAAGAAAAAAAATTAATTTCAAATTGCGCGAGAATCGACGAGCCGCGATTTGCATTTTCGCCGAAAGATGCGACGAATTAATCGAGAATATCGATACGAGAGAAAGAGAGAGAGAGAAAGAGAGAGAGGGGGAGGAGGGATCAAAGAGCAGCTCGAGCAGAAAAAGACGGACGTGCAATATCGTTCGATCTCGATATCTTTCTTTCGGGATCGAAATCATAGCGAGGGTTAATTAACTTCTCGTGGACGTGACTATCGCCGCATCGATCTTCATTACCGACCGGTTCAGCTCAGTGGGATTGGCCCACTTGAACAGTTCGGGGAAATACGGGAATAACGGGTTTTTATGGTATTATTGATCACTCGATAGCTTCAATTTTCACTCGTGTTTAAAATCGAAGTGATTTTAAAACGTAATTAGGGATAATTAAATATCGAGTGCTGGTATCGTTCGATATTCGTCCAACTATCGGAGAATAATATCGGAGACGGGTAGAATTAATAATGAGGGAGGAGTGGTTTGCGGGCGGGAGATGGAAGGAGAGCGTCTCGGAGGATAACTCATTTTTATTAATTTATTATAATTGTTCTCGATTAGCGATATTTCGTTTATTATCGTGTATACGTGTGCGATTGTATGTAACGAGAGCGGTTTGATTTTTAGAGTTGGGTAATGCGTGATTTAGCAGGTGTATGTATATATATATATTATTTACACCTTTTATATTTTCAATTTGCTCACTGACACAACGAAACCGACGAATCCGACGTATGCTCACTATGCTGTTTTCGCGTTTAAGCGTATTAAAAGATATCGATTATTACAGGGTCTCTTGCGAAAATCGTTCAGAAAGAAGAAAACGAAACGACATAATTGTACACATATTATAAGATCGATATTAAACTCTTTTTCATCCATTTCGTTCAATTCAAATCTCGATCGTCGAATCAATTATTAACCGAAATCGTCACGCGATCGATCGAAGCGTAAATCGAAGCAGGCGACAATAATGTTCGAATAAAGATAAAATAAAGACAAAGACAAGGAACGGTTAGAACGATTAGAAGGGCGGAACAGATTAGAAGGGATGGATGGAATCCAAAGTTCAAACCAAAGATTCAAGCGCGATTAGAAAAGCAACTTTATCAATTAAGGACGAGGTTTGAAAATGTCGTTTCGCGTGTGCCGAGGAAATAGTGTCCTCGTTTCCGGCTCGCTTCCCCGACGATACGATTGTTTCGGGTTGTCGAAGCGATCGTTTCAACGAATCCGTACTTTACACGTAGCACTTTATCGAGCGTATTAAACACGCCCATCCATCGTATCGATCGCGATCGAAAAGTAACTATACCAAGAGCGATGCGAAGTGGCGAAGAAGAAATCTCGATTGGTTTTCTCGACGATAACGAGCGAAGAAGGGAAGGGGGAGGGGCGGGGATGACGTTCATTCATACGTGATGTTCATAAATAAAAGGAGCAAGTGGAAGAGAAGGGAACGGATAGGCTTTTAAATGTTGATCACGTTTCATTGAAATTGTCTGTTATAATACGTCACGTTTATCCGATGCGTGCGTGCGAGTATGTTGTGTGCGTGTTGTATACGTGCGTGTAAAGAGATGTAGAATGATTGTCGTCGTGCAAGCCTAGCTTAACGTCTCTCGACGAAACTCGGATCGGCGAGTTTTAATCGCCGTCGATTGTGAAAGCACGATATTTCGTGAGACCAAAATTGCAGCGTAGGGAAACGAGCTCATCGATACTCATATATACGTATAAGGGAGTAAATATATATATATATATAAATATAAATATAAATATATTTCTGTAAATAATGTGGACACGAATTATTACAAATGGGATTTACTATAGATATCTGTATATTATTGTTTCATAAAAAAGAGATTACAGAAATGTGCGCACACGTTTCACATTTATTTCCCTTTGAAATCCTCGTTTCCCTTTCTCAGCTAATCTTGGAGAAGAAGAAATCGATCTCGTTTTGGATCAAGTTCTTAATAAGGTACGTATTAATCGAATAAAAAATTCAATAAAATATCGAAAAATTAGGAGGTGAGGCGGGATTTTGATGTAAATATCGAGGTAAATTACGTTAGTTTTTAATAACACGTGAACGATATTATTGAACGGTATTTGAGGAGGAAGTCGAGTGATCGAGAACGAGTATTCCCGTTCGATACCCGGGTCCCAGAATTTCCCGGATGGTGGGAAACGTTAGCCATTAGGTAAGGGGATCCATCATCCGAGCTTTCACCACCGGCCCCCCGCCGAGAAGGGGGTTCCTCGTGTAATGAAGTGCAACAGGGAAGAGCGTGATTAACTTAACGAGCAAACGTATTATAGGAGAAGCTAAATACCGGTAAATTATATCGGGCGCGGACCCATTATGAACCGGCGTTGCTCGCTGCGCCCGTTTCCAAAACGGTGCATAATTCACCCGACCCACGATATTCCAGCGCGCACTCGTACATCTCTCGTGGTTTTCCACTAATGTACTTTAGCCAAGGCGCGTAGATACCGATCTCTCAAGTTTCCACTGGCGTGGACTACCACCGCCAAAGTGGTACCGGATTCGCGATCTCGTTGAATCGTACACATCGTGCGAGGTTCGTACACTCTCTTCGACAAAGTGATTGAATAATTTAAGGGAAATCGTGGAACGAGTTTGCTTCGTAATCGTGTATAACCGTGCATTCGGGGGAAAACGTTTAATCGGT